AATCAAATAATTGGAGAATCCTTGTTCATTGATGTGTTGACTTACAACTAGTGACGTCCACCTGAATTGGAGAGGGTGAGGATAGTAATGAGAAATTCAATCTTAGATCACATACTGGGAAAAGAGTGAAAATGAATATGTTTGGGGGTGTGTGAATCTTACGAGAGATGAATAGATATATTTGACTATAGAGGGTCGGGAATTGGAACAACTTGTGAATTCATTAATGTCTACTTAGTTCTTCACACACACACACACACGTTGGTTTTGCATTGGAAAAGTGGATATTAGTTTAGTATAGTGACTTTGAAGTAGTTTGTAGATTTAATACCGTGATTTCAAATCCTGAGGCAAAAAGTTAGATTGTCTAACCAAATATTTTTGCATGTTTGCGTGTTTGTTATTATTTAGGTTATAATTTTGTTTGAGAACAAACAAATGATTTATGTTTGGGGTGTTTGATAAGTGTATTTTATACACTTATTCGGGGCTCTAAAATAACAATATCTGATAGTCTTTTAGCAAAATATATTTTAAATTGTTGTGTCTTACGTTTAGTAGGTGAATTTTCATGGATTAAAAGGAAGTGAAGGAAAGAAGAAAAAATTGGGGGAAAATGGCAATATTTGAAATGCATGGATTAAAGTGGCCATTGAAAGAAAATTGAGAGCTTGGAAACAACTACCACCATAATGAGCCTCAAATTTCAGTTGGACTTGGACTGCAGGTACTTTAATTAAAGTGTGCTGGAATCTTGAGGGAAGAAAAACACGTGCAGATTGCCAAATTGGAGAAAAATTGGAATCCTTTTGAAAGTCAAACATTGTGGGCTAGGTTACCACTAATATATATACACATGCTGGCAAATATAAAAAAGAGAAGGATAGTTACACATTAATTGGGAACGGCAGCCGGAAGGAGAATTATACATGCCAACTGGGGAAAATTTTGCCCACTGCAGAATTAAATATATATACACGTGAGGGAATTAATAGGGTTGCATATTGCTGAAGATTATATAATTACCCACAGGAAGGCAGAATTGATACAGATTCAAACACGAAATTGCGGCTGTTTTTGGTTGGATTTACATTCACATGAGAGAGCCGAAGATACACGAGCTACCTACTGCCGGGGAATTAAAAAGGGAAATTACAAAGGCAGAAATCAAGAGATACGAAGATGGCAAACACGAGGAAGACCCGAACTATTGGAATTAATTACGTTTCGTCTATTTCTCGATGATGTCATTCTATTGAATCAATTACGTTTCGTCTATTTCTCGATGATGTCATTCTATTTTTATGCGTTTAATTCCAACATTATGTTAGGCTAATTTGTTTAATGGATTGGATGGGACGAACCCTATTGTCTATTTATTTCTAATTCAAGACAAGTAATTTAGTTTAATTCTTGTGTTTGTTGATTAATTTTGCATTTCCATTGCACTATTACATTGTTTGTCCATCAATTAAATAGTTAGTTGGTTGTTGTAGTGTAGGAATGCTCACAATGAGTTTAGAACGCGGTAAAATTAACATGTGTAGTTAGAATTAGGAATAATCTCTTTCACACATGCAATCATTTAGATAACTTGAACTAAATGCGTGACTTTCATATGAATTCGGACTAAGACTAGGATCGAGTCGTGTTAATTATAGGTTCGTGTGTCTTGAAAAAGAGCATTGAATAATTTAGCGTTATCGATTGTTAAGAACAATGGAATTAGATTACGAATCAATAATTGAAATAGATAGCAATAGGCGGAGCCGAAATCCAATACAATCCTCCATAATTTGACAAAACCCCAAAATTTTTTATCGCTTTCTTAGATTAGTTTAGTTTAAATCAAATCAAAGTATTTCCTTTGTTTTTCATAATTCGAATCTAATAGTAACTAGTAAACTAGAATTAAACATTATTCTTCGTGGGGCGATAACTCTTAACTCATCATATCTATTACTTGTCAACGATCCCGTACGCCTGCGGCTTTCGCACGAAGAGGAACCATGAACCTTAGCAGAAAAACTTACTAGATATTAAAATTACAAAAGCTCACGTTTGAAGGCTAATACTGAAAAGACACCACCTTTAGGCACAAAGAGTATTCACAAAAACAATTAACCAAGAAAAATTGAAAAAGATATCTAAGCAAGTTAGCAAGCAACTATTCAATCAAGTAAAAATCTCTTCGTTCAAGCTAAAAATAAAAAAGCGATCCCAATCTTATCGTTTCTACTTGAAAACGACGGAAATGAATCCTATTTCCTTATTCAACATTCCTAACGCAAAGAAACATCAAAATTGAACATAAATCGAAAATGCACATACTCGAGCATATTGTAATATTCGAACATATCAATGTGAAACTTCCCATCTTTAATTCTAAAGTATCTTCACGACTGCAACGAACGAGAAACGAACATTCAAAATGACTGTGTTTACAGGTTTATGGATTAACTTTTTGGTTTAATTTTCATCATCTGTAGTCGAGATTAGGATTTAGGGTTTAGCGTGATAAATCGATGAGCTCAGAAACGTAGCAACGAGACCATCGACTTATTGCTTGCGATTTTTATCAAATTCTATGCGTTGAATTACAAAGAAATAAATATTTTCAGGGGAAAAAGTTAAATAAATATTGTTATTTCAGTATAGTCAAAATAGGGTTAATTTCATAAACGGTCACTCAAGTTTAAAACTTGCATAAACGATCACTAAAATTTATAGCGCTTTCAGAAATGGTCACTGAAGTTTACAAACTTGCAGAAACGATCACTATTAGGATTGTGATGATTTAATTCAAAATTTAAAGTACCAAAACACGTGAACATAAAATATTGAGGACCAAACACCAAAACTTGACAAAATAAACTTTTTCTCTCTAGTTTTGTGTGAGTTCTGTGACAATTTTTTGGCAACTTTCAACCACCAAAGCCGCCTTATTTGGATACCGTTAGAAAGCCCACAATGTCATCTTCAATTAACACCCAAAATCTCCCCATAACTCCAAAGGATTAGATCAGAATAAACCCACAAAGTCAGCTCTCCAAAATCTGAAAATCTACCCAGATTTTTCAGATTTTTACGACAATTGTCCAACAACTTTTGACCACCAAGGCCGCTGGATTTGGATAGTTAGAAATCACATAATGCCATCTTCAATTACCACACAAAATCTCCTCAGAACTCCAAAGGATTTTCCATAATAAACCCACAAAGTCAGCTCCCCGAAACTTGAAAAGGTCGAGTTTTGCGCCAATTTTCCGACAACTTCCGACCACCAAGACCTCTAGATTTGAATACCATTGGAAAAGCCCACAATGTTTATTTCAATTCCCACCCAAAATCTATCCATAACCCCAAAGGATTCAGCCGGAATAAACCCACGAAGTCAACTCCCCGAATCCTTTGGGGTTATAGAGAGATTTTGGATGGTAATTGAAGATGACATTGTGGGCTTTTCCAACGATATCCAAATTCAGCGGTCTTGGTGGTTGGAAAATGCCGAAAAATTGCTGCAAAACTCGCCCAAAAATAGAGAGTTTATTTTGTCAAGTTTTGGTGGTTTGGTCCTCAAGATTTTCAATGTTCACTTGTTTTGGTTCCTTAAGTTTGAATTAAATCATAAGAATCCTAATATTGACCTTTTCTATAAATTTGTAAATTTCGGTAACCGTTTCTACAAGTTTTAAAATTTAGCAACCATTTTGTAATTTTCAGGTAAATTCAGTGACCGTTTGTGAAGTTAACCCGTCGAAATAAGATAACCCATTATGGGATTGTCTTTTATTTATTTAATTATTACTTTTTTTTTTTTTTTGAGAAGTGGTTTTGTGAAAAATAATTTTTTGAAAAATGTATG